AACAACTTTGTGACTAATAAAATGCATGTACTTTGACAATTTAAGCACGTTTTTTAACTGTAGCATAATATATATATATATATATATGGATGCTTTAAGTAACACGTAATGGATTTTTTCATCAATTATACTTAAATAAATAATATTATAAGAAAATATTTTATGTTTATATCTTCGTCACTTTCAATGCATTATATATGCTGTTTTATATGAATTTATGACCATAAATATGCATTTATGTACAGATCGAATAAACAAATCTTGGATGGTTTCTCAAATGATATTAAAAAACTTGGGTTACTGTGATAATTAGTATAGGATGCTTCAAAATTTTGCTTAATATATAATTATGCATGTGCAGTAGGTACGGACCATCTGAATTATATGAATTTGCTTTGATGTAGCATTGAAATTTTGTCTAATATTAGAATATGTAATTAGGGTTTGGTCAACTCAACCCCTTTTAGTACCTAGTATTGAATTTGCTAGTACGATCTGCTTGTTACCCGTTCTTCTAAATCTGAAATTTCTCTTATCATAAAAACATATTAAAGCTTTATTTTCTTGGCTGATCCCAATTTTTTTTTTAACCTATAAATACTCCCCAATAGGCTATGTGTAGAGGCACTTTCAGCATTTAGCAATATGGCATTATCAAACCCAAAAGATTTCGGCAGCTCTCCTTCAATGGTTAGTGTTCAAGAGCTCGCAAAAGGGCCAACAATCACTATCCCACAACAATTTGTTCGTTTAGATCAAGAACCCCTGTCCTTCTCTTTCACTGCTCCTTCGCCACCAATCCCAACCATTGACATGGCTCGTTTGGTTTCTGGAGATGATGACAGAGACCTCGAACTCGAGAAATTGCACTCAACTTGCAAAGACTGGGGTATCTTCCAGGTTCTTCTCAATTCACCCTTTAGCAACTTATCTAATCAAATGTAAACATGCATGAAAAAGAGGAAAAGCTAATTAATTACTTCCAAACTCCATTTAAGAGTTAGGATCTTTGATTTTTTTTTTTGAATTTTTTGACCAGGTGCATAATTAAGTTTCCTTTTCATGTTTACCATATGAAGTTCGTTTATACTAAATACATATAAAAGATTAATTTTCGATATAATCATATGGAAATATATGTTAATTACAACATACAAATACGGGTAATAGAGCTACAAGTAATTTATTTTAGAAGAAATTTTTTTTTTAAAAAATAGCACAACAGAGTATGTGAGAAAAATATATTCATAGTTAGTGGTTTTGCAGTTGGTGAACCATGGAGTTAGCTCTTCACTGTTGGACAAACTGAAACATAAGGTGGAAGAATTTTATAGGCTTCCCCTGGAAGCAAAAATGAAATACAAGATGATGCCAGGGGAGTGGGAAGGGTATGGATGCAGAAGCAGAGAAGGAGGAAAACTGGACTGGGTTGACAGTTTGAATATAATTACTAACCCTGTCCACAGACGCAAGCCTCATCTCTTCCCGGAGCTCCCTTCATCCCTAAGGTAATTCTCTCTGTCTGTCTCTCTTTTATTGAATCTGATAAAAAAAAATCCTCTTTTAATATGATAGAGTTTATACTCTCTTCTCATAAATTGACCTTTTAATACATAATCTCATCCAGAAACACCTTGGAGTCTTACTTATCGGAACTCCAAAAGATTGCCTCAAAACTTCTTGGTTCAATGGCAAAAGCTTTGGGAATTGATGTAAAGGAGATGATGGAGTTTTCTGATGATGGGATGCAAGCAGTTAGATTGGCATATTATCCGCCTTGTCCAAAACCAGAACTGGTGATGGGCCTTTTTCCTCACTCAGATATAACCCTTATCAACATCTTGCACCAAGTTAATGGAGTAGATGGCCTTCAGATTAAGAAAGATGGACTTTGGTTTCCTCTCAACATCAACCCTGATGCCTTTGTAGTGAATGTAGGAGACATTTTGCAGGTTTGTCTCTCTTCTATAAATTCTAATACATACATACATATATATATATGTATAAGTGGATTAAATAATAAGAATCCCTAGCTATAAGTGTCATTTTCGAACCCTTTTTTTCTTTGATCTTAATTGTCTTAAAAAAATTGTGTTGATACAGATATTTAGCAACGGGGTTTATCACAGCATTGAGCACAAGGTTTCTGCGAATGCAGAGAAGGAAAGATTCTCCATTACCCTCTCCATCAATCCCAAACCTGGGGCTGACGTTGGGCCTGCACCTAGTCTGATAAATCCAGATAGCCCTCCATTATTTAGAAAGGTGGGGCTGGAGCAATACTTCAAAGATTACTTTTCTCGTAAGCCCAGTGGAAAAGCATATCTGGACCATATGAGGATTCAAAATGGACAAGACAACTCGGCTTGATATTCAAAACTCCATGCTTACATACACACGTTTGCATGCTGATACGGTTATGGTTTGGTAATAAGATTTGGCATTGCAATTGGTGCTGCGTCTGATGACAATTGCAAAACGAAACATCATAAAAATAGCAATAAAAAAATCTCAATTGCGGTGAGTTTGTTCTCTATCGCATTTGCAGCTTTGTGTAGTGTGAATATAAATGTAGCTTGTTTGTATCTAAGACGACAGCTTAGCTGCCTGTATAAGGTTTCTACCAGAAAAATAAGTTGGGTCTCAATAATTAATGGCTTGTTTGATCATGTCTTGCGCTGTACTCTGTATTAAACTTTATTGAAATCAATCGAAAGAGTGAGTTTTATTCTTAAAGTTTTATGGCGTTTCTGCTATTGAGTTCTTCAAGTGATAAGAATGGTATAGATTTTGATAGAACTTCTAGATTTGGGACTGTATCAAACAAAAGTTTATTCTCAGTGGCCCTCGACTCTATTTCAATCCAAAGGATCCCAAAACGCAACGATTAATTAGAAGATGAAGATGAAAAGCAGACAGGGTTGAAGTCATTCGTACAGGAGCGATGATTCCTGTCTATGGCTCGCATCGTCCGTCAATGCCAACCACACCTTCTTCTTGAATCCTGGTCAATACAAACTTCCACTGTCCTAAGCCCAAACCACGAAGTTCTGTCTTTTGTTTCCCACTCCCATTCTCTTTGCATTTGAAGCTAAGGCATTGTAGAAATGTTAGCAGCGCTGTAATAAGAGGCCAAATGGTTAAGAAATAAAACCAAGAGATTGGACCAATTGATAAAAATTTTCTCAATAATATTGAAATTATTTTATTT